TGCTGTCTAAACTATTTTATAAGCATGCAATCAATGGTATGAATCTTGTTGGTTTGAACTTTTAATTTTGTACTGAGTTTGTTTTGTTGCATTAATGTGGTTGTCCAAGTTTCGTTTCTGTGACTAAGGATACAGACAAATTGTACTCGAGCAGAGTATGTTATGAATTTTCATTTTCCCTTTTTGTGTTTCGAGCTAGTCCCAACAGTGATGTCGGTCAATGCTCTTAAAGATCTCAATAGCCTACCTGCATCTAAAAGCAAGAATGATGAATCCAGTAGAGGGTGTTTTACAAAACCTTGCAATGGGAATATGAATGAAAATGTTGAGGAGAAGCAGAGGAAGAAGTCTTCTCCCATTCATGTTAACAGTGGCGAAACCACTGAGGGGAAGGGTTAGGCACAGGCCCTACCCTTCCCCGAAAAAACAATGAGAAAAGGAAAGGCCGAAGAGAGAAGGCCCTACCTTGCGCAATTGACATAAATAGCTAATTAAGGTACTAATTTTTTTCAATTTAATAATTAAAAACACAAACTTTAGTTACTCTTAATTAAGAAGATATATATATATATATATTTTGATATTGATTACACAATGAGAGTCAACCATCTCCAATCCATTATCTCACCCCATCTGTATGTTATGCAATTCGAATTTGCGGTCTCTTATTTTCAGCGAAAGAAGATGACCATTGAGTTATTTAAGTCGTTAACTTTTAATTAAGAATATTAATTATTGCTTTTTCATATTCATTAATAGATTTCAATATTCAATTATCTACAAATTATTTATTTAAGAAAATTTCATTAATCTTTTTAGTATATTAGAAAGGTAATTGTTTTGGCATTACAAAAATTTAAACTTTTAAGCTAAACTCCAAATTAAGATTTTAAAGTTAGTAAATATTGACTTGACCAAGCATTTATTAGTAGAAAGCTTCCTTAATTACTCTATACTTAGTGTAACTAATAATTTTAGAATATTAAAAAGTATTAAATTTCTAAAATACACTTTCTTTCTTTCTTTCTTTCTTTCCCTTACGTCCATCTTTGTTTTTCTCATCGTAGCCATTAGCCATTAGGTTAAATGCTAATTTTAGTCCCTCAACTTTAGTAGTTTGCACTTTTTTGGTCTTTAAACTATTTTTTACACTTTTTTGATCCTTTAACTCTAAGAAATGCACAATTTTTGTCCTTCCATCAATTTTGGTCATTAACTCCATCCACGTGGCATTTTTTAATATTTTTTTTGATGATGTGGAGAAGACAACTTAAAAAAGTGCTGATATGGATAAAAACATTATGCCATCTCATATTCTCGTGAGTTAAACACGTCAAATCCCCTCAAATGGGTCTCACTTTACCTGCAAATTAACCCTTTAATAAACAATGCCAATCAAACTCTAACCAAATTTCAACAAAAATACAATTAAACTTTAATCAAATTCTAACAAAAATGTAATCAAACTCTAATCAAATTCCAACAAAAATATAATCAAATTGTAAATCAACTCTTAAATTTATCAAGAATTGGAAATGAAAATCGAAAGAAGAATGAAAAAACATATGCTGGATTTCGACGAACCCAACCTTTTGGGTTCGTCGAAACCCAGATATTGTAATTTTGTGGAAAACAACATACAACATTTGGTAGAGTGAATGAAATTAGAATTCAATGAATAAATAATATCTACTTTAACATGAAACTTTTCAGCCACACAGAGCAAACTTCTGGGCCTTTGGCTACCACAATGATGAGCAAGTGCAGTTCCCTCTAACAATCATTATTAATCATCCAACTCCTCTAGAGGCTAATATTAACAACGTCCATGCAAGGCTTCTCTTAAGTAGTTTGCACCCCACGAATAGAATTTCACAACTTTCAATCATTTCAGCCACGTAGATATCTGGGTTTTGACGAACCCAGCCTTCTGGGTTCGTCGAAGAACCAACAAGATCAAACAAGGCTGGGTTCATTGAAACCTAAAAGGCTGGGTTCATCGACGAACCAGCAAGGTTGGGTTAACCCAACAGATCTGGGTTCGATGGTTCCACTGACCTAGGGGTAGGAAAGAAAGAAAGAGAAAGAAAGAAGGGGAAGAAGATGAATTGGAAGGGTGAGGGTAGTAACGTAATTTTATTTTTTAATTAAAATTTAAATATTCATTTACGTGGTATTTTTATTTATTTATATAACATAATTATAATATATATTATTGCCACATCATCAAAAAATATAAAAAATGCCACATGGACGGAGTTAACAACCCAAACTAACGAAAGAACCAAAATTGTGTATTTCTTAAAGTTGAGGAATAAAAAAAGTACAAAAAATAGTTTAAGGACAAAAAAGTGCAAACCACTAAAGTTGAGGTACCAAAATTAACGTTTAATCTAGCCATTAATAGCAGGTTTTGAAGAATTTGCTAACAAATGCAAAGAAATTCAAATGGTGCACAAATAACAACTAAGAAATCAAATTCTATTAACACAACTAATTTTAATAAGAAGGACATAATTTTAGACTTAAAATAAATTTTTTATATAATTTTTGAGAAATAATGTTTTTTATGAAAATTTTTAAGCATAAATTAAACAATAATAAATCTATACTTAAAACAATTATATCTTAAAATTGAATTCATTGCAACCTCTTTAGAATCTTTCAAAATATTTTATTATCTATCATCTCCCTATTAGAGAATTCATGAGTTTGTTCAATATATATAATGCCAAAGAATTGAGCAATTTTTTAGAGAATCACTAACAATAATAAAAGGGTCACAAGCAAGACAATTAGATAGGTAAAATGCATGGAGCAAGTAGAGTAAGAAAAAATAAGAAATAATTAACATTATTTTCTAATTATTTTTATTTATTTTTTTATTGATAATTTTATTTTTTAAAATAAGTAAAGTGAGGTTACTATAGTAAATTAATAATTTTTGTCCAATAATTATCAGGCCCTACCCTATATAAAATCCCGTTTCTGCCGCTGCATGTTAATGGGTGTGAAACTGTAAATTCTGGAGTAGAGGTAGCAAATTCAGAAGTAGAATTCATTGAATCTGAGAACTTGAGTGATCTTGAAGACATTGATACAAGCCTCAAGGTATAACTCCTTGCTTTCCCTTTTTCCTTTTCACTAATATTTGGAAGTAAACTGCATGCTAATATGCTTAAATTCCTTTTCACTAATTATGACATCTGCAGACATTTTCACCGCATTTAATGACCATGTAGTTGATTTGTTGGATCCACTGATAATTCATACTCTCCAAAGTCACCGCTGCCTTAATTTTTGTTGAATGGTTATCTCCTCACTAGTGAATAGTGAGTGAACAACTAATATTGTGAATATATGCCTAAATATCGTCAAATGCAGCTTGCAGACAAAAAGTTTGTTTGTGAGGCAGCTGAGAGAGCTTTAGAGGCAAAATGACCACTTGGGTTTCCCCTATTGTTTTCTTGCCAAAGTTGTAACCTTATCTCAAAAACAGAAATCCATGAATTTGAGCCAAGGCATCAATGTGCTTTTCTTCAAGTGTTCCGCAACTGGTAAGAAAAGTATGCTTGATTTGCTTACCGCTACTTCATTTGTTTACTAATCATATGGAGCACTGAAAGAGTTTCTATTGGTCAATGTCTATGACAACATTACCGTCTTCCTCAGTTTCTTTTCCACATTTGACATTCCTGTTGGATGGTCCATTTCCTAATTGTTGTTGATGCAGATCAGATCATAATCTTGTTTCTTAGAGTTTCAATAAGAATATTAATGTTTGCTTATTCAACTAATAATTGAATTGTACAAAGAAGTAACTACAACTGGGACATGGATTTTTGTTTATGGCTTGAGCAATATACTATTTTTAGATGTAATCACGTTGGGTTTTTCCTGGCATTATTGGTTTGTAAGCCATAACTTCCTTCCTACTGTAGCTGAATTCATGTTAATTTCATTTTTACAGGGTGTTGAGGGAATTAAAACATATGGAATTGACAGATTGGTACAAGTAGCTGCATCCTAGCTCAGTGATTAGCTTCCTGAGTCCAGGGAGGCTGCTCAAACCCTTCTTCTGGATTTGCAAACTGTATACAAGAAATCCTATTGTCTCTTGTCAGCAACAATACACCAGCATCCAGAGTTGGACTCTTGGGAGCACTTTTGTCAATCAAAACTCTCTCCTTTAAGCGCACAGGCTGTGCTTCGTGTCACCAACACCAATGTTGCTCGGGAGGGTCGTGTTGTTAGTCCATGACACAAGTTACATAGTCCATACATGAGCTTTTTGAAATCAGAGTCTTTATTTACCTACACATATGAGCCTTAGCTAGCAGAATCTATAATTAACTTTTATTGGGTTGGTTTCATTTCATCTTGTTCTTTTTCTATAAATGCTCTTGAATGATTGAGATCTCTGCCATTATGATTAAGAAAATAGTTGGGTTTGGAATGATATGGTATGTCTTTATGAGTATCTTCCTTTTGCATAATTTTGCCGCACTGTAAGTAGAATCGAGAGGATAAGTACTTTGTGTAGAGAACTGGAAATGGAGTTTATCACAAGGTACAGCTCATCTGCTTAAAATAGTTTGGAAAAAAAATATATAAATAAAGATACGAATTTTATTATTTTCTTATTTAAAAACATAAATTTTATTGGTTTTTGAATAAAGTGGTAAATTTTGAACTTTTTAATTTAATGATATTAATTTTATATTTTTATTTAAATATTAATTAAATAATTAAAAAATTATTTATTGTATCAATTTTATTATTTAATTAATCATAAAATAAAAAAATTAATAACTTTAAAAACCAAATTCAAAATGTACGGACTCATTTAAAAACTAATAAAATTTACATTTTTAAATTAAAAAATAACAA